AAAGAGGTTAGTGAATGTGATTTAAATTTCACTTCAACTTCAAGTTTTAATGTGTGTTTCAATTTTAAATTCTGGTTCAGTTCTATATTTAATTTACTTCGCTGTTACTTCAACACATTTACTCTTTAAAACAAAAAATTAGTTAGTAATAATAAAAACACTTAAATAAAAGTGATATTATAGATCTAATAATATGAATATTAAAAACAATTATCATGTAAGCCAAGCGTATTGAAGAGTAACAATAATATGCATCTCATATCTAGATGATTTACATTCATTTGCATTGAATTTACCTTCTAGGTTTGTAATTTAGCTTTGCAATACAAGAATATCAATAAAATAAGTTGGATAAAATAGATATTTCTTTGTTAAGTTTTTATATAATTCTCTCTTTGATTATCCAATAAGCTAGGGTTAGAGTTAATAAGATAATAAGAATTCAATTATCTCAATATATAAATGTATATTTAGCTCATTTAACAGATAAAAGACTCTCAAATACCGAAATAAATGAGTTTAGGAATGGTTAAATAAAGAAGGAATTATTGTTACGAATTTTGGTTTTATCTCAAGGGTAACTAGGATTTTAATATGAAATGAATATTGCATTCATTATTATTAAAATTAATACAAATTATCATATATGATTTTGGCTAAATCAAATCAAAAACATAGATAAATAATATTATATAACCATTCTGCTTCAAATCTTCTTACAAATTTTAATATTAGTAATTTCACTGAGGGAATAATTTTAATAAATTTATCTTGTTGATTTTTCTTACTATAAAATCAAATATAATGAAAATCATTTCAGCTGCCTTCACGACCTATTAACAAAAAAGAATATTTATCTATAAAAATCACTTTGTAAACTGGTTGAAAAATATTTCACTTGGTGAATACAGACTTAAGTTATTAGAAAATTTTATGGGTTGACTTTTCATGATATAAATTTAGTGAATCTTAACTTAAAATCTTTCTCCCAAAACAAGTATTTAAGCAAATTTATCAATCATAACATTCCTTTACAACTGTTAAGGTAAAATATTTTAAGGTTTTATAAACAAATGAATTTCTAGATTTATACATAGTTTTAGAAGGCATTTTTGTGTTACATTTATTATTCTAAAGGTTGGATGGCTTTAAAAAGTAAAGTATTTATCAATTATAGTCTCTTATTATTGTTGAATTATGATTCAAATAAACCATCTTTATTCCTTTCTTACAAGCCTCTCTAAAATCTTTTCAGATAAAATTTCTCTTTCCAATTAGGCTGGTAGGAATTTAAAAAAATGCACTTGAAGTTAAATTGAGAGTAAAATCTATAGGGGACCCATCAAAAGTATTAATAAATGACAAGTAAAAATGAAAATACCATATGAGTTTTATTTCAAGTATTTATTTAGCATCTAGGAGTTCAACTAAATAGGATATAGTATGCAAAAATGAGGTATTTAAACTTATAATTTTAGAGAAACACTCTTTAAATTTATTGAGGATTATGGTAGGTCAAAAAAAAAATGATGATTCAGGTGATAATAATTACAAAAGAAAATGGTTTTCATATATAGCAGAAGTCAACTGAAAATGATGTTATTCTCAAAATTAAATGAATCATCTTAAAAGGAAAGGAAAAACATCTCAAAATACTGCTTTATTTAAACATAAGATGAATAATTTTTCACGAGACAAATGATTATTAATTCAACCTTCACAAAGATAATTACAAAGTATTTAGGAGAAAGAAAAAACAATTAAAACTAAAATCAATAAGGATTCCTTAATTTGATGAACATTATTAAATAACATTTAGTGCTCCTCTCTATAATAATTTTTAAAAGAATGCTTACCTTTGAATGTATGTTGTTTTAAAAGTTTTGCCAAGATTCCTATTTCTACTAAAATTATAAAATATATTTACGAATCTGCATTTCAAGAATTACTTTTACTCAAACAACTTTTAATGCCACAAAACTTTATTTAATGGAATAATAATATCATTAAATGAATTAATACAGATTGAAGTAAATTTACAGATGATCCTCATAAACAAGAATTCAAATATCTGTTTTAGATACATGACTAATTAAATTCCTTTAAATAATAATTGAATCTTTAAATTGAAATAAATTACTTAAGATTTTAACAACAAATAGCAAGAATAATTATATATGCAGCCAATTATAATTGTGAAAACTTAATGTTATAATTACAATTTAACCTATTTTTTGATTTCCCTATTTCAATTATCAATATATATTGTCTTATATAATGGTACTTCGGTCCCAATTTATTCCAAGTTGATAGATAATCTCCATTATATGAAATGCTAAAAAAATATAATTTCATTCATATACTATGTGACTATTTTTCATTATCCTTCACTTTACGTATTGATCTAATGAACATCGTATTTCTACCTAAGAATTATTAGATTCTTTTTTAATAAAAAATAGATATAGATTGAAAACCCTAAATAGGATTAAAAGGAATATTTTTTCAATCATTTTAATTTTACCATCTTGTATAAATTTTCTTGCTATTTCTAATTGATAATTCATAATGCACCCAGTATCTTTTAAGATTTGTTTCCTTCGACAATAAAATTATTTCTACTATTATTCTCAAAGCAAGAGAAGAAATCAAATCATAGTGCATTTCTGAATTACTATGATTTAGATAATCAAAAATATTTATAAGACTAATACATAACATCTCTGACAATAGTATTTATGTAGATAATACAGCAATTATTTTGAAGAATGAAAAATGCTTGGAATTGCAATTAATACCAAATTCTTATTTCTCATGTTTCGCATTATTCAAGTAATTATCATTTTATAGTATTACCAATTTGCTTAATAAAGATTTGATAGTAAGGAAATTATTGAAATTTCATTCAGCTACATATCATTTGACAAATTAGAGAGATTTCAAAAGATCGAAGTAGAAGGTTAAAGATTTTAAGATTAATCTCTTTTAATATATTATCAATAATAAATATTCAATAAAATGGTTTAAAATGAATAATGATATACCTCTTCATCAATTAATAGGAACAAATATTTATAATCAGTGAAATGTCTTATTCATTAACTGTTAAATAAAGCACTCAAAAATTAATATTATATTATGAACATTAAAGTTATTAAATATCAATCTTGGTTTAGGCAAAGATAAGAGGATATAACTTGCAATAAGAAGCGTATGCTTTTGAGTTGAAGGGTAAACATAAGGCCATTATATTTGGTAGGCCTTGATTTTATGTTCTTTATAACAATATTTACAATAAATGATTTAGAATTAATTCATATATTAATTTCAATAATAATTATCCTCAAATTACCCAACTCATAAATAGTTCTCTTAAAAGTTGACCAATCATTTCTGAGATTTCAAAAATTACTTTTTTTGAAAATTTAGTCCTCCAACAACATACATTGAAAATGTAAGCCTATAATTTACTTTTGCTAGGTCGAAGAGAAAACGTCAGGATTTCGTTTAATATAAGCTGTGAATAAAGCTCGTCCTAATAAAAACCCAAATATATTATTGAAAGGGGCAAATTGATAATAGGAGTATTAATATGATTTTGAATTGCATTTACTTGAATAGTTAATTAATAATTATATTCGAGAAAAGAGAGTTTAGAGGTATCGTTTGATGCAGCTGCTAG